TTTTATTGGTTGTGTCAATTAAAGTGTTGATTTCCTACACTATGCTACAAAACTGCTAACCCCTAAACCCATCCCACACCTGACCCTAACCTTAACCAGTGAAATTGACTGCACGTAGGGACTGGTGCTGAATAGAGTGGTAAAGAAAGTTGCAGTTCAGGAGATAAACAGTTAATAAGATTATACGATATGAGATCGTTCCGTAACTCCCCAACCGGACCTCACCGGACAATGGGTGCGTTCGACTTCATGCCGCGGCGCAGCCGGCTTGACGGCTCCGTTTTCAACTCCACCCTCGACTGCAAGCGGCTACTCTCGTTGACTGCCGTCAAGTCGAACGCACCTAATGGCACCTTTTTAGTTACACCCAGCGTCACTACCCACTCCTACCCTGCGAATTTCGAGCCCCGGGATGCCCCCGTTGCTTAGAACAAAGGGATAGAGTAAAATATTTCCCCTGCGCTGTGCTGGGACAGCTCGTGGGAGAGCTCGTGGGTGATTCACGTTTATATCATTAAGCAGAGGTTCAAACTCCAGTCCGAACACCACTGGCCACGAGCTTTGGGGCTCTGCTCTCACGGAGAATATTTATTTATATAGCATATTTTATGTTAGATCAACTAGAAACAATGTTTAATTTATAAAGTTTTATTTTGAAATGTAAGTCAATAACAATTTGCCGAAGCCAGAGCCAATGGTGAAAGTCTTTCCGCGAAGAGACCCCGCCCCATTTTGGAGATCTCCGGTCTGCAGTTATACCTAGTTGGGCATTGAATCTGCTTTTGAATGCACAATCGCTTTTTAGTTTCACTTTCACTTTCGAGATTAGCAATCGCACGTGCTCTGTTTATACTACAGAGCCGCAATACTTACCACACATTTTACAAGATTAGATGTTTGTCAGTGGTGCTCAGGATCTGCAAATCATTCGCCATCGTCCTCAGTCATCCCTTCTTACTCTGTTTATGTGGTAAGTGAACTTTTATGTACTGTAATGTAACAGGCAACCGTTAGCAAACGTTATTTGTTTTCCTTGCCTTTCTGAATGCGGATTCACGCTTCGGGCACACCCCCTAACTCCCCCATGTCATGGTTCATCAAGATGTTTCACTTTAGACATGGTCTGATGCCAATTTTGTAGACATCGCCCAACCCTAGTTTAGATATTTTTTACTGAAAAACAAAGTAAACAAAGAAAATACTGATTAAGATATCTATCCATCCATCCATCTTTTTTTGAACAAAAAAATGTAACCAAAAATGATTCTTCTATTGCATTGCTGTAAAACCACCCTTTTGGAAGCTTTATTTTTAAGAGTGTATAGTGACATTTTTGTAGCCATTTGTGGACTTTTAGGATTTAATTATATAATTACAATTAAATATAATTACATAATTAATAATATATAATTAAATAAAATAATAATAATGTAAATTTATTTAATTTATAACACTTGATCGGTTTGTTTGAACAGGTGGCACAGTGGCACATCTCAATCAGAGAGCGGATTGGGGCTGAAGGGGATGAAGAGTCTCACCTGAGGTAAACATTGTTGTGATTGACAGGCGGTAATCTGCACAACTTCACTCAACTATGCTGTAACAGGCTCAATGTCTGTTAAGAGCTTCACTATAGCTATATCTGGGATAAGACTATTGGTAGAGAATGACAGGAGAACATAGTTACTATTTTTTATTTTGACTGAAGGCGGAACTTGCGAAGCACAAAGTTTAAGCAACAAACATGATGAATGTGAATGAGAAGGAACCAATTATCTTTTGTTCAGGCTTTCTGAAAATATTCAAAGGAATGTTGAAAACAAGGTCAGTAAGTGTAAGCCAAACTAAACATACTGCAAAATGAGTAATCATTTCATAAATCAAGCATAAATCATTGATATTCTGATTTTAATTTCTACTACTGTGGGTTTTTAATGAGAATAATGTGTTGAACTGAACACTGGTGCAGTTCTGTAAATGGTTTGGACAGAGTGCATTGCGCTAATAGCTCAGGAAAACAGATTCAGTCGAACTTTAACCTCATGAGTAATATGTCTGCTTATGTGTCAGCCAAGGCCTGACTCTTGACTAATCAAAATCATCTTAGTTAAGACCATTTCCACTTCCCACTTTTAAATGCCCAGGAGTGAGCTATTGAAGAAGGCATTTAAAGGGATAGTTCATCCAAAAATGAAAACTTGCTTAAAATGTATTTACTCTGCAGGCCATCCAAGATGTAGATGAGATGAGTTAGTTTTTTTCATTGGAACAGTTCTGGAGAAATTTAGCATTACATCACTTGCTCACCAAATGATCATCTGTGTGAATGGGTTCTCTCCCGATTTAGACGATACAGTTTTTTCAGTGGAGAAAGGAATTTTATTGATAGAGGACTTGTATTTCAGCCGGAAGCAATGATTTGAAGATAAAAACTTATTGATGAATTTGTTTACTACAATCACACAGCTTTTTTGCTCCACAGGACGATTACTTGTGGATTATTGTGATGTTTTAATCAGCTAACTTTCATTCTGATGGGCACCCATTCACTACAGAGGATAAATTGGTGATCCAAGTGAGGTAATGCTAAATTTCTCCAAAATTGTTCCCATATTGTATTTCTTACCCTTTTCTATAGAAAGTGCAGCCACATGCAGCATTATTAATTAAAAAAAAGATGCTATGTAAAATTTGATGTACAATTTCGTCCATGCATGAAAAGACCCATTGTTTGAATCTTTTAAAAAAGAACATATTTGCTCTCACAGTGCTTTCCCAGCTATATTTAGCCATTTGAAATGTAAGTCAATAACAATTTGCCGAAGCCAGAGCCAATGGTGAAAGTCTTTCCGCGAAGAGACCCCGCCCCATTTTGGAGGTTCTGCCCACTTTTGGAGTTCACGCCCCATTTTGGAGATCTCCGGTCTGCAGTTATACCTAGTTGGGCATTGAATCTGCTTTTGAATGCACAATCGCTTTTTAGTTTCACTTTCACTTTCGAGATTAGCAATCGCACGTGCTCTGTTTATACTACAGAGCCGCAATACTTACCACACATTTTACAAGATTAGATGTTTGTCAGTGGTGCTCAGGATCTGCAAATCATTCGCCATCGTCCTCAGTCATCCCTTCTTACTCTGTTTATATGGTAAGTGAACTTTTATGTACTGTAATGTAACAGGCAACCGTTAGCAAACGTTATTTGTTTTCCTTGCCTTTCTGAATGCGGATTCACGCTTCGGGCACACCCCCTAACTCCCCCATGTCATGGTTCATCAAGATGTTTCACTTTAGACATGGTCTGATGCCAATTTTGTAGACATCGCCCAACCCTAGTTTAGATATTTTTTACTGAAAAACAAAGTAAACAAAGAAAATACTGATTAAGATATCTATCCATCCATCCATCTTTTTTTGAACAAAAAAATGTAACCAAAAATGATTCTTCTATTGCATTGCTGTAAAACCACCCTTTTGGAAGCTTTATTTTTAAGAGTGTATAGTGACATTTTTGTAGCCATTTGTGGACTTTTAGGATTTAATTATATAATTACAATTAAATATAATTACATAATTAATAATATATAATTAAATAAAATAATAATAATGTAAATTTATTTAATTTATAACACTTGATCGCTTTGTTTGAACAGGTGGCACAGTGGCACATCTCAATCAGAGAGCGGATTGGGGCTGAAGGGGATGAAGAGTCTCACCTGAGGTAAACATTGTTGTGATTGACAGGCGGTAATCTGCACAACTTCACTCAACTATGCTGTAACAGGCTCAATGTCTGTTAAGAGCTTCACTATAGCTATATCTGGGATAAGACTATTGGTAGAGAATGACAGGAGAACATAGTTACTATTTTTTATTTTGACTGAAGGCGGAACTTGCGAAGCACAAAGTTTAAGCAACAAACATGATGAATGTGAATGAGAAGGAACCAATTATCTTTTGTTCAGGCTTTCTGAAAATATTCAAAGGAATGTTGAAAACAAGGTCAGTAAGTGTAAGCCAAACTAAACATACTGCAAAATGAGTAATCATTTGAGTGAGAGAGAGAGAGAGAGAGAGAGAGAGAGAGAGAGAGAGAGAGAGAGACAGAAGGGGGTAGCAAAGATGGGAAAACATTCCCTGTTAGTGCCACATAAACAGTCTGTCCTCTGAGAACCACAACACTGTCCACATGCTGGTTTAGCTCTCCAGACCATGGAATTACAACAACACTGTCCTACTGTCAGTCAAAGAAATACCAGTCAAGCTTTATGCACATATATGTTTGTCTAAGAGAAAATGTATGTTTTTAGATGGTGGTCATTTCACTTCTGTTAACTGTCAACTTTTAACTTTTTAGTTTCAATGGTCCTGTGGTGTGACAATGTTTTTTTTTTAAGTATTCCAAGTAGTCTCATAATTGATACGATGCCATCAAAAATGCATGCATATAATTATAATAAAATGTACTGTTATGTAGATTATTACATAGATTATTAGTACATTATTACATGTCACACCATATTTGACACATAGTTTCTAACAGTTTGGCTCCCATATGCAGCATCTGCACAAATACATATAGATTTAACTTATTTTATGCTTATTAAGCATTAAGTTATCTGGAGACATCCCACTGCAGGACTGAATAAATGAACTGTGGGAAGTAATTCCACATAAACATTACAAATTGACAGTAGGAGGTAAAACTCTCTCTGTCCTGATTTGCAAGTTAAAATTTTTTTATTTACTTCCTGTTAGGGCCCATGCAAAATTTTCAAAGATCCCCAAGAAACCGGCCAATTAAAAACTAATTTTGTGAGTGACTCCACATTGTTCAGCTCGATACGTTTTTGTATTACACGATGAGGACACTCACATTTCCACGCAATTTCCACATTTTGCTTAAAATAATAAATAAATGATTAAATAAAATTACTAAAAATGTTTTAAAATAGCCAAAGATTGTTTTAAATTTTATAGACAAAATCTGTTGTTTCTATAAACACTTGTCAATGTTCTTCTTTGTTGTAACACTTTATATGTCCTTTCAGCAATTACTCTTGTTTCCCCAACCTATCAAAAATCTATATGCACCAAATCAATAAACCCAACCATTGTATCTTACCATTAAAAGTGCTCAGAAGAAGGTTAAGCATTGTCCACATCTCTCTGGGTGATCAGATCATTGCTCCTGCTGTTTCTGTTTTGTCCTGCCAGTATGGATTCTTACTGTAGACTGTCTGATCTTGCAGGACAAAGCCGTATCCCTGCCTGTCCCCTCCTCCCAGCCCTCCGTTCGGACACTTAGGCCTCCGATCACTGAAGAATCCTTCCAAATCTTGACACAGGTGCTCTGTTAAGACAGGCATGTCTACTCATCCTGATTACAGGAGATTTGTGGATTAACATTCAGAAATGGCAGCTGCCAGGAGTCTGTGGTTGTAAGGTTGTCACTGCTTCTTCAGTCTGAGCTGGCATGTTTCTCTTTGACTGACTAAAATAGGTCCTTTTTTATTGAGCGCAACAGACTATTTTATAATTAACTGGGGATTTTTGACACACAATACAACCACTATAGAATTTTACACTTATAAAACCATAAAACAGTAAAGCTCACAGAACATGTGATGGCTGGGAAGTGTATTATGAACTTTGCTGCAGTTATTATAATCATCCTGCCACTAATTGATTTTCTAGCACGTTGTATTGTATTGTTCCTTTCCTGTTTGTGCCTGGCATGTCTTCACACCGCCTGTGTCTTACATGCCCTGAAATAGCTATGGATCAGAATATGGTAGAGTTTAGCCATTTAAAACAAGCTTAAGCATATCAGAGAAGCCCAGGTTACACCTCATGCCACACATCTTACAGCCAGGCGCCGCTAATTTTGCAGAAGTCAGGTGAAAAATGAAACTAAAAATAATCTGACTGTGATTAATCTATTCCAATATCTTAATTGTTTCTTGGCCAACCAGTGAAGACACCTGTTATTTTAGCCCTTATGGATCTGTAACGAATTAGATGAAAATGTAATCATTTCCATGCATGACATGTAATCAAGTTCGTTGTAATTCACTTCCTATTAGTGGCCATGTTTTGAGGAACTTCCGAAATCCCCCCAAATTATGATTCACTCAAAACAATGCGTCTCATTCACGTAGGTGCATTTGCACATATTTGTGCATAAAATCTGTGTAGAAAAGCTTTTGTACTGAAATCATAATAGGTTTGCACTGTTAGGTCAAAGCAGAAATTGTTGGGGCTTACAAGAAGGCTTAAAAGAGAATCAGCTTTCAGAAATATCGATTTGACTGCACTGACAATACTTGATAAGAACAAACCTGATACTACTATGAGAACTGAACTGGATTATGACAATTTGTCTTTGGTATAGAGCTGCCTTTGAAGTTGTTTCATTATTGAGGAAGATTTGCAACATTGCCACAGTGACTAAATGGAATTGAAATAACACTGATCTCAGTTTATCTGAATAAGACTAATATTCATTCTTTAAGTTAATAATATTCATTCTTTAGAGCTACTTTATAGCTGGATAGAACTTGTTTTGTAATTAAAGAAACTTTAACATCAACACTGCCATTGAATTGAACCAAATTCACATCGAACTGACCTTACCTGAATAATAATAGTTGTCTTCTGTAGAGCTGAAATGTATAGTAATTTTTACAATTGTTGAATTTTTTACAATGCTGTTTATATTTAGAACCAACAAATATACACACATATACAAAACTCACATACTCCCAATGGCCTTATTCATCCACTGTGAATTTGAAGGAAGCTTTGCGTGAGAACTTTTTCTGCCCACATAAATACACAAAATGTATGAAATGATTAGTGAGGCCCAATGTTCTTCATATTCACTTCTCTGGTCATCATCTGAGAAAGCAGAAACTCTTAAAGTAGGGCACTTATGTATGACATCATAGTATCCCTTACCAAAAAGTAGTATACTTCAAGTTTATTTTATTAAGTATACTTAAGTAAAGTTCAAGTATATTTTTAAGTATACTTTATGTAGCAAGTATACAAATATCAGTGTACAAGTAGTATACTTGTAAGTGTACTATTTCAATACTCCTTGGGACTAAATTGGCCCACTTTCTAGTATATAAAAGTATACTTTTAAGTATACTTTAAGTATAACAGTAGTAAACTTTAAGTACACAACTAGTTTACAACAGTATTTTTAGCTTGTACTGCAACTATACTAAAAGTGAACTTATATGAATACTGATAGTTTTCTAATTAAATACTTGTAGTAGCATTTTTTGTACACTTTGAAGTATAGTCTTAGTAAACTACTAGTTTATTAGTTTTATACTGCAAGTATAATCGTAAGTTTTCTTTAAGTGAACTTTACGTCATACTGTAAGTATACTACTATTTCCCTATTTAGGTATTAATTTGTATATATTTTGTTATATAAATATTTGAACATACAAAACACCAAAAGAGAGAACAGGGTATCTACTTGTAAACAAAAAAATTTTATTCTAGCTTCAAGCATTCTTTTTTTAAACACTTGAATGTGGGTAAGTTTCATAAAAAAAAAAAAAAAAGAAGAAAAAACTTTTTGAACAAAAAGCTGGAAAAAAGACTATGAATATATTTCTGAGAAGTACATAAAGCCCATTTCTGAGAAGTACATAAAAAGTAGACTAAAAGTATACTTTCCTATTTTTTAGTTTAAAAGAAGTATACTAATAGCACACTTGAATAAACGTCTTTTTCGTAAGGGATTGTGAACAACCACAAGAACAAACAGACAAAGTACAAGGATTTTAAATTCAAGTTTATCCAGGAAATTGAGCTGACACATTTGCTGGTTAGCCACAAAATACATTTTGGCCCATTTTACTAGGGCATTGGAATGAAAAATCGGAACAAAACAAACACGAGTGACTGGAGTGGTGTATTCCAGATGCAAACAAATTTTTGCTAAATTCATGGTTTTTCTATTTATAGTAGCCTGGTTACAACTCAAACAATCATTTCAAATCTCTGTAGTAAGAAACTTGTTCTAATTTAGTCTCATAAATCCAAAGTCCATTAATGGTTCTCTATTCAAGACAACAATGACACCAAAAACACAAAACAGTGCAAGTTCTTACCCTCGTTGCCTTTATCATTGAATTTAAATTCAAATAACCCTGACTTCATGAGTATATATAAAACGTGTGTGTAAAGTGTTTGTTCAGTGGAAAACAAAAGCAGCCAAATTTTGGGGTAGTTTAGAGCTGGATCACATCAGGTTGGTTGGATAAGTTAGATTCGGAGAGCATGCGGAGAGGTGATGTGCGGCCACAGTTATTTTCTCAGTCTGTTGACCTGAAGCAGAAGAGTTATTGCAGGGCAAAGACTCAGGAAATGAGACAGAGAAAGAGGAAGCTCAGCTGGCCTTAGAGATCATTCAAGTGGGGCGACTCTCTCTACAAGAGGAGAGAGATTTAATAGAAATGAAATATGATACGTGTTGGTTAATGTGTGGTAATACCACGCAAATTAGATAGCGCAGTGTTTACTAGTGCGCTTTTAAGTGTCTATTCCTCATCGTGCCAGCAGAGGGCAGCAAATGCCACCATTACTACATCTGTTACTAGATAGGGTGTTGTTTATGTAGTGTTTTCAGGGTACTCGGTGCACCATCACAAAATCGACTTCAGCGCAATTCAGTGCTTAGTTTTGACTTGCTTAATTTAAGTGTGTTTTCATTCATAGTTTTTTTGTGCTTAACTCCTTATGAAAATGAACTTCCCAAGTCGTCATATTCGTGGAGAAAGTTGTAATAAATGAGGAACGTGTGACTCGTCGTTTGTGAACGCAATTATAGCATTATGTGCAAATTATAGCATAATTATATACAGCACACTGTCGTTATGTTCGAAGTACAAAATGTCCTTCTAATGATATGTTGTTGTAAACTTTTTGTTAAAGATCTGTTATCTTTGTACCAGAGAGCACTAGCTAGACAGATTTGGTCATTTTAGCTCTCTTTATTAGTAGCCTACCGTATGATGCGTTTGTGTGTGTACATGAATGAGGTGTGTGTTTTCCGGACGACAGGCTACTGAGCTCTAAGTTTAGTCACAAAAGCAGTGCTAAAGACAGCCAAGTGCAGAGTTGTTATTAGACTCTTGGCAGTGTTTCCACAGCCCATCTGTACACGGTTTGGCTCCAGCTCGGAGGGGCTCAGGCGGATCACATTCCGCTTTCCACCGTCCTCCTCTTCTTTGACTCTCAGTGTCTGTGAGCATACACCATCACAGAAGAATCTGTCTAGGTGAAAATACGACCCAAATTTGTGTGTGATTTGGGCTGTAATAAGACTATTTGTAATTATATAAAAGTGTGTCTTGACTCCAGGCCAGGTGAAGAGGGAATGAGCAGCAGACTCAGGAATGTGTATGTCTACTCTGCTCAGAAAAGCACACATATATATTGTGGGCCACCCAAGTATGTGTATCATGACATGGCCATTCATTTAACCTGGAAAATATCAAGGCTAAAATAAGCATGGGTCTCGCACAGGTTCTAGACAAGTAAACAAAAGATCTAGCAAAAAGCCTTTTTATGGCGGGTTAATTAGATGAGTGATTTATAGCAGAATACATTTGCTACTTGATGAAAAAAGATAGTTTGTTTTCAAGTTTCTGTTTAGTTTTTCTAGTATATATTTAGTTTTTAAATTTTAGTATTTCAGGGTTGCCAAAGTATGTTGAAAGATGTTAAACACTGTGGCAAGTGGAATATGTCATGTTTAATGAAGTGGATTGTAAGAGGTTCAAATTTTATACTGTGTATCAAACATAATTTTTTGGTCATTTTATTTTGTGTTAGAGTCATTTAAATGTATTTCAGTTTAGTTTTATTTTTTTCCCAATTGCTTTTAATATTTGTTGTTTATGTTTTTATGTTGCTTATTATAATTTTTTTTTTATGAAAATGTTTTCACTTTAGTTTTTGTTAACAATATTGGTTGTTTTTGGTTTAAAAGTGACTTTAATAATATTAATGACAATGTATTTACATTTAACCATTTAGCAGATGCTTTTATTCAAAGTGACTTACAGTAAGATTTTTTAAAATGTTTTTGAAAGAAGTCTCTTACGCTCATCAAGACTGCTTTTATTTGATGAAAAATACATAAAAAAACACTATATTACTACAATTTAAAATAAATGTTTACTATTTTAATATGTTTTAAAATGTAATTTATTCTTGTGTTGGCAAAGCTGAATTATCAGCAGCCATTACACCAGTCTTCAGTGTCATGCGATCCTTCAGAAATCATTCAAATATGCTTATTATCATCAATTGAAAACAGTTGTGCTGCTTAATATTTTTGTGTAAACTGTGACACATTCTTTAAAAGAACAGAATTTATATTAAATATTTATTTGAATATATATAGTTCCACTTTATATTAAGTGGCCTTAACTACTATGTACTTACATCAAAAAATAAGTACAGTGTACTTATTGTGTTCATATTGTATCGCAAAACACTTTTGCTGCTATTGAGGTGGGATACAGGTAAGGTTAGGGACATGTTTGGTGGTCTGGGTAGGTTTAAGGGTGGGTTAAGGTGTCAGGGATGGGTCAACAGTGTAATTATAAATGTAATTACAGAAATTAATTACAGATGTATTTACATGCAGGTATTTTTAAAACATAATGTAAAAACATGTATATACACAATAAGTGCATTGTACCAAATGATTCATTTAAATGTAAGTACAGAGTAGTTAAGGCCACTTAATATAAAGTGGGACCGAATATATAATTTATTGTATTGTACATCAATTTAATGCATCTTTGCTGAATAAAAATATGAAACAAACAAAACAAAAAGAGAGAATGACGGCGAAAGTACAAGAAGAAAAGGAGGAGAATGAAGAAGTAGGAGATAGAGGAGGAGGACAGAAACTTGAGGACTGTTCTAAGAACCAGTGTGGTGTTGTGCAAGGGAGGCACAATAGAAGATGAAATTGATGTAGAAAGGGTGGAGAGGAGTCAGCTGAAGGGGTGGTAGATACACGCAGCCAATGACAATCCAGAAAGGCTGACTCATGAGCGGTTTTAATGTTCTGTTCACAAAAGGTCCCAAAAGCCAAGGAACTTGCAAAAACAAGTTACTTTTCTCAAAGGAAAGCAAAGGAGAAAGAACAGAAAGCTATCTTTATGGTTTGGTTGTGGTGTGGTTAACCCTCTCTCAGGAACAACCCCAGGTTTAGGGGGAGAGAGGTCTGACTCAGACCCACAGCAAGACCTTCCCACCTGTGTGAAGGACAAGAGCCAGAGAAGGCGCTTTAGTCTGGACAACAGCACTCTCTCGTCCACTTTAAACTAGACAAAAACAGATCATCCTCCTTCATAATTCGTTATTTATGTGCAAGAGCGTTCCAGAGGATCATACGAAATTGGAGCTGGGCTGTGAATCAAAGCTCTGGCACGACAAACCATAAGAAAGAGAGGGATTTTGAAGGAGGGAGGGAAGATCGACAAGGAGATTCACATAGACAGAGGCTGCTGGAAGATGAAGTCTCTTCCAAAGAACCAAGGACGAACCGATTTTGGGTGCTATGGCGGATATGCTGACATCTCTGGCGATGCCCAATCAGAAGTGGGTGAGTGACTTCTGTGGCCTTTCACCTTTGTACTTAGTTGTTGGTTTGTAAACAATATTAATGCAACACACATGTGACTATTGCACAATCTGTCATAATTTTGTGCTTTGAGAGGCTTTAGGTTTTATTTTAAGTAGCATTTGCTTTGATATATGTGAAAATGATTTGCACATATCTCCAAATGATGAACGGCAGCTGGCTTTGCGTGTTTGGAGAACAATTCACATGCATTTTAAATGTACTGTAACTTAGTGTGGTCATAATCATAATTCACTGAGGAGTTCCTGTTATTTTTTCAGAGATGATAAAGATTAACGGCCAGTGAAATCAGAAAAAGATGCATGATAGACGTAAGGACAAGCTTATTGTCAGTCATCCAATCTAACTGGCTTGAGTTCTGCAATTAATGTGTGCCAGTTTACAAAACGAACTATGTGCAAACATGCTCCAGATTGTGTATTTGTAAATTTGAGGAAAAGAAATGACAAATTAACTTCAAATGTGAAGCGTGTCTTTCCTCTGTACAGCTTCAGAAAAACAGTTGAAATAAAGATTAATTGACCCTTTGTTTGTGAACATCCATGTTTATGACCATGTCATAACAATGGCATCTATCAAACGAAGAACACATCACAGATAGGAAAAGAATGGAGGGATAAACAATGAAGTCAGTCAGAGAATGACAGAGAAGCATTTTGGAGGAAAACTATGCAAGAACGCAGTGACGGGTTGCAGTGACACACGAAAGATACTCTCTTGGGTGTTTATGAAGAATTTAGAGCACTTGCAGGCGCAGGAAACTAGCGCTGATTAAGACGCCTCCTCATAAACAAACATGTGCACGCTGTCTTCTCAAAATAGCTGGCAAGCTGTAGGTCTGACTGGCTGTTTACTGTTCTTTAAGGCTTTCAAAAAAGCTGTTAATATTTTTTCTCAATCATGTATTTTTTTAAACATTTTGTAACCACTCTGATGAACCTGTCACTCAAACTGTAAGACAACATAAGAGCATGATTGGCAGGAAAAATAAGAATATTTTAACAGAGAATTTTTCCCTTTTGCTTAAACTCTTCAGTACTAATATATATTATATATAGTTCAAATAGTTTAAGAGCAACAATGCAGAGGGTTTAAAATACCACTCTTTCGCGTTTTTAGTTCCACTGCGCTTGCTAAAATAAAGTCTGAGGAGGAAAACATTTGCGTGAGGAATGTTAAGACTGTTTGGTAGAAAACCTTCTGCTAAATGTGACATACATGAAAATGTAGCATTTCACTATCAGTCTATTGGATAAACAATCACCAAAATATTATTGTTATGAAAATATTATCTTGCAGTTATAGTCAACCTTTGGATCTCTTAAATATTTCTCTAAAATCTTAATCTTTATTGGCAGTCTTCAGTATTTGTTATGGCTCAACCTAGATAGGGCAAAGAGAACAGCACTGAAATCATACTAAATTTAATGAATTGAAGGGCAAAAATGTGGTTATGGGACTATTGTGAAGGCCATATATATACACACACTACCGTTCAAAGGTTTGGGAAAGAAATTAATATTTATATCCAGCAAGGATGCATTACATTGATCAAAAGTGACAACAAATCAGCAAATTAGAATGATTTCTGAAGGGTCATGTGACTCTGAAGACTAGAGTAATGACTGTTGAAATTTCAGTTTTGCCATCACAGTTATAAATTACCTTTCAATTTATATTAAAATAGAAAACAGTTCTTTTGAATTGTAATAATATTTCACAACATCACAATATTGCTGTATTTTTATTGTATTTTTTGATCAAATAAAGAAATGAAGCCTTCGTGAGCATCAGAATCTTCTTTCAAAAACATTACTAAACATTCTTTAAGTTTTATATGTGTGTGTGTGTACAAATATTGAAAAATTTATTAAATCTATAAATTATTAAATAAATATCTAATATCGAAAATAAAGTCATTTCAAAACAGGAAGGTTTGTATATATACTGACTGCTGAAAATACACATTTTAAGTATAATTTGTAACTGTCCATCTTTGGTCGTAGAACTCGGAGGGTATTGAGCACCTGAGTATGACACAGGAACGGAAAACAGGAAAGCAGCGCCCATGGGACTCAGAGGGACTGAATTGGGATGATACGGCCCGGGACAGCCTGGAAAGAGTACGAAGAAGAGATAGAGCAAGTAAGACACAACAACCATATTTAGCCAAATGTTGCTTGACTTGAGTATTAGCAGGTTAAACATACACAACAAAAGTCGCCAGTGATCCACTCCAATGTGATGGGTATGGAGCCAAGGTACATAAAAAATTAAAAAAAATAAACATATGGAGATTGAAAATTGACTTGGCACAATCTTGACCTTTAGTAACAACAAGGGAGTGTATGTCAGTGTTGATGTTGATGTAAGGCCATGTTCCTGTTTAAAGCAGCTATCATTTCTATTTTAACTACGCCTCTCTCCTGCCACGTGTGATAACGGGAGTTGTTTTGATCTGCGCAATATGCTTAATGACAGAGTGATATCCTTATTATGGTCTGAAAAAGGCGTCTTTCTGCTGCATTCAGCCCACAGTACAAACAAACATTCTGGCCTACAGTGTTTAGGGTTTGCCAAATATTTACAGTGCAGCGCAGTTAACACTATCGGCATGTTTTGGGTGCTTACATGAAATTATAATGGTTTCAGCATGGGCTGAAAATAACTTCACCTAAGATTTAAAGGGGTAGTTTGATTTCCCTGAAAAGTGTAAACACTGTGGCAACTATCAAAATACTGATCTGTTTGTTTGACCATTCCATTAGCAGTATATTAGTAACAGTGGCTGAACCAATGGGATGAGTTTGGGTTGGACTACCTGTTTGGCTGACCAATGGAAGACGGGGTGTATATAAGCAACCTGTTTGAAAACACTTCTCAGTAATCAAATGTTTCTCAGTACTCAGATGTTTCCTTGCTCCTTCAGCATATGACCTAGAAATCCTTCATCATGGAGATGCAGCATTTACCACACACACACACACACACACACACACACACACTCACACAAAACAAACAAACAAACAAACAAACTTGACAGACGCATAAAAAGATGTGTGTTGCTTTGAGACACGCAACAGTCGACCCTGCTTTTGCTTTGTTCAGAAATACTTTTGTTAATAGAGTAAAACTAGACATATTCACTGGCGATATTATGTCTAACATGTAAGTTACTCATTAATAATTTCTTGTTCATTTAACTATTCTTACTGTTGCGGTGAATATCAGTACGGCCTGCTTGTGTGATATATTTGTTAGTTGGATGCAATTACAGCAGGAAAATGCCACTTTTTTTGTATGTATTATTATTTTAGCTGCAGTCCAACAATGAAAGTCCAAAGGGACTAATAGGCTAATGCTGTGTTTTGGCTGTGAGTGACTTTATATTGGGTGTAGATCAGGTAAGTTCAGGTAACAGAGCTCTTATCAGATGGGCTCTCTCACAGGTCTAAGCAGGTTGATAATGAACCACACCCTTTAACTGTACTGACTGATCTGATAACCAAACTTACTGAATCAAGTTGTAAAGGGGAAACGATCTTTGCTAATCTTCCATGACGAAAACTGGAAGAAAAGCTGCTCTGAACGGCTTCCAGATGGGAGACCCACTCGCCTGCCTTTGCCCAGTGTCAGGGAAAAAGCACTACTATGATTATTTGGAGTTAGACACATTAAATTGAGTTCATGAGAACAAAAAAAAAAGAGCTTTGTTGTGGGATGGGTGCTGAGTAGGTATGTGACAAATCGCTAACTGTTCAGGACGTGGGGTATAGGAAAGCAAGGAGCCCTGGGATGTTTGTCGCAAATGAGACTGCTTAGATGAATTGCAGTGTCAAAGCTGTAGCTTCTAAATATTAGTTTAAGACATACCAAGAGCAAGCACCAGTGCACATTTAATCAGGGTTGCTTCCTTATATAAGTTTACTTTTATGGTGTGAATGAGAAAAAAAAATGTAAACCAAAAATCAGAGTTGATGACCCAAATGGTTACTCCTCAATAGGATAGTTCACCCAAAAATGAAAACTCTTTAGCATTTCATTTACTTACCATCATGTCATTCTAAACCCCTATGACTTTCTTGGAACTCAAGAGAAGTGCTACAATGCGCTATGCACTAATTTACAAGTCTTCTGCAGTTGTACAGTAGCTGCAGAAATACACACTATTCACTGACAAACTTGCCTTCCAGTGAACGTTCACCACCGTGTCTCTATCATTGAAATTAATTAAGTAGGACTGCGTTTCCCAAAAGCATTATAAGCCTAAGTAGATCATATAAAGCACTGGCACCAATGGTCTCTGCGATCTATTTATGATAACAATGCAGATCAGTTCAGTCCAATTGAATCAATGAGTCATTCAGACTGAATTTGTGCACTGGTTAATTTGAGAAGATTTAAATCTATCGATCTATCTATCTATCTATCTATCTATCTATATATCTATCTATCTATCATCTATCTATCTCTCTATCTATCTGTCTATCTGTCTATCTGTCTAACTGTCTGTCTGTCTATCTATACATACAGTGGGTACAGAAAAGAATCACTCCACTTTAAAATAATCACATTTTGTTGCTTTGCAGTCTGAAATTAAGACGGAGAGCTGTTATCCAGCTGTGCAACTTATAACATTCAAGTGAAAGATATGAAGAGTTGCGGTCAAGGCTGTAGGCTGTAGGCTGTTCAATAACATCAGTTTAAAGAGCAAAACTAGATTATGACGCCTCTCCCAACGATGGCGATTTAATAACGTTTTGAAGATTTACGCAAGTTTTTGCAGTCTAATGTTTGTTTTGTCAACAGCAGCTAACACAAAACTAGCTAATCTGCACGCCTCCATTCTCTCCATTCTCTCCAGACACCACTACATTTCTATGGTTACCACGCTGCAAAATGTGATTATTTTAAGGGGGGGGGTTCTTTTCTATCCACTGTATGTATATATATATATATATACATACATACATACATACATACAGGGCTGGAAATTGGGGGACGGAGTCCGGGGAGTGAATTTCGAGGGGGGACGGCGTTCCAGTTCCAACTTTTCTTTTTTTTTGGAAATGACAGTGATTTCTATTATATCCATTTAATAGCCTACGAAAGTGATCCCAATTCTGCACATAAACGTAGCGCAATATATAATAAAAATGTAGCGTGATATTTGTGTCTATGGTTTGCAGCGCAATGTCTGCTTTTCTGCAGACTGCAGCCAATGGAAATGCTTCTCTATAGGTGCTCCTCAGAAAACAGATTGTGAAAGCAGACTGCAGTTTTTGTTCAGTGCTGAGTTATTCAAGCTCAGATCTATACATCATGCCTACACTTTATTATAACAAATAAAGTGTAGGCATAATGTAGGCCTAAATAATAGATTCGGTGTGCAGTGAGAGATTAATTAATTAATGGAAGTTAGTGAGATCGCGATGAACTAGTTTTTTAAAGAATGAGTGACAACTTTTATAAAGGGAGTTTGCAAATGTGATATTTAATTTATACAACAGTTTTAATAAAGTTTATTTTATTAAAGTTTAATTTAATAAAGTTAGAAAGAAATGGCATTACGAAGGTTTAAAAAATGCCCCTGCAAATCACTTTGAGTCAAATATGGCCCCATAATGGGAAGGTTAATTTCTCTCATTAATCAGAAGTTGTTCCTAATTATTATTATTTTGAAGTAGGAACACAAGTGCTGTACTGTATCACTAATACTGCAATATTGTATCACTAAATAAGAAGTGTTTTTATGGAGGGCTTAGCTAATCAGGTCAATTAGAGTTGGTATCAGGTACAATTACTAATCTTTGCCATTTTTTATTAAATCATTCTTTTCATTTCACTAATCAATCTTTTTGTTTAAACACAAGGGGTCATTAATGATGCTTACATTATATAACATGCAAATTCACTTACAATGTATGTGTACCAGAATTGCAGGATGATTGTCTTGATATCCAAGAAGTATGAAATAAGTTTAATGTTATTATAGATTATAAAGGGTTTTATAATTAAATACATCCGAAAGGTCATCTAAAATTACAATTATTACACACACACA